GTGTTACCTTCTAGGTTAATTCTTTTTGATCTAAACTTTTCTCTAGTTCCTGGTCCCCTTTTCCTATTGGCCTCAGTTGCTTTAAGGTATCACATATCCCATTCGTTGTTCCCATCCAGTGCCGCTTTGTTCTAAGTGTTAGAACTCACAGAGCACAGAAATCTAAGACAAACTTAGGACATGAACGTAAAGTTTTACAGAGGAACATAGTTACATTGTGGGCAGAGTTAGAATGCATGTTCTAGATCAGTGAAAATCAAACCTCAGTATGCCTATAAATCACCTGGAGATCCTATTAAAATGCATATTGATTCAGCAAGTCGATAGGACCTGAGGTTCAGCATTTCCAAGCAGGTTCCAAGTGCTGCTGACATACCAGTTGCTGACCACCCACTTCTGATCCTAAGGTTCAAGGGTATCATTTATTAAAAACTTCAATATATTGAATTTTCAAAGACATTATCTGTTCACCATTTATGTATGTATGTATTTACTTATTTAGCAGGGGTGTCTGTGTTCCCCACTGTAGAACAGAAGAATCTAGGAAAGAATCTTGTTCTATCATCAGTACAGGCAGGACTTCCCCACGGATGCAAATGTTTGTGTGTGTGGACAACTAGGAGCACTGGTGGTCCTCTTCTGAGAATGTTCTAATTACAAGAATAAAATTGTTGGGAAGATTGGAAATGTTAACAGTTGCTGTAGCCTCATCCACATTTTCCTCCAATCTTTATTGTAAGCAAGCACAGACTACTGGCAAGATCACTTATTTTTAGAGTTTTAGAACAAGTTTGTGGATACATAGTGTCTAACAGGAAATCTAGGATGTGGTGGTAACTGTAACTAACTTGTAAAATTAAAATACCCATTAATAATAAATGCATTCTTTTTATGTGCATATTCTGATTATATGCTGATCACTCAAATGCACCTAACTTTATTTGCCAATTTCCAAATTCTAGTAATCCAAAATTACTGATAGCCATTCAGAAGGTACTACTACTATTTCAGCAGTACTGGGGTTTGAATTCTGGCCCTTGTGCTTGCACTTGACACTTGAGCCACATCCCACTCCTCTTTTTTGCTTTATTTTCCTAATATGGTCTCACATTTATACCTGGGAGTGGGAGGCTGTGGAACGTGATCCTCCTATTTATTTAGGCTTCTTGCATAGCTCGCACAACAGGTGCATGCCACCATGCCCAGTTTTTGTTGGTTGATATGGGGTCTCACAGACTTTTCTCCTTCTGGGCTGGCCTCTATTACGATCTTCCTGATCTCTTCCTCCCAAGTAGCTGGGATTACAGGCATGAGCCACCACAGCTGGCTTAAGAGCTATTATTTATAGAATAATATGATTTGTAATTTTAAATATAACCAACATTGTTCTTCCATCCCCACTCACTTTTTATGTCTTAAAAAATGGACTTCTTTAGCTGGAGATGTAGCTCAGGGATACAATGCATGCAAACTCAAGGCCCTGGGTTCAATCCCCAGCACTGGGGGAAAATAGCTTCTTGAAAGGAAATTTAACCACTAACTATTGTGAGAACTGAACCATTTTTGACAATGCAGTGTTAGAGAAAGCACTGAATTTCTGAGCCAAAACTGAGTGGAGGTGGGTTTGGGGGCTGCTGAAGAGGGAAGGAGAAGCCTTTATTTTATAAGATTCCAAATTATTTCAGAATAAAGAAGTTACGTTTTTAAGTCAAAGATTTTAAAACACAGTGTTAGAAAAAGTTTTACAAAAAGCTTGAATAGATTCAAAGATGCTCAATTCGTCAGATTGTTATAGAGACCAGTATGACTTAATTCTCCCTAGGTTTTATGAAAATCTTTATTAACAGAAATCAAACTTATTAGTCAAGGTGACAATGTATCAAAGAAATACATGTCAAATCTGCTGCCATTATTTGTTTTTAACATTTTTATTGCATATTTACAAGGTGCAGAGCATTGTAAGAATTTACAGCAGAAGCCAAATTTTCCAGCCCTTAAAAATCTAATAGGAAGTTTAGATGAACCATACACAATTATCTTTGAACATGAGCATTAAAAACATACATAAAAATTCACAGCCTAATACAGGTGAATGCTCTATGTAACAGAACAGGAGGGAAGGCTAAAGCACAGTGTATAAGAAAGTCATCAAAGTGTCAGACCACCACAGCTGGGTAGTACTGAATAAAAGAACACTGAAAATTGGATTTTTAAAGGCTGAAATGTCCTGCAACAGCATAGCTATCCTCTATGCAAAACAGTGAGGTAGAATTCTTCCTGCCCCGTTTTCTGCTTTCCTGACCACCTGTGGGGGGCTTTCCTGTCCAGGTGGTACTCTCACATCCTTGTGCCTGTATATGCCTTACCACCCCCTCCACCTCTATCACCAAGTCTTTCCTGTTCAATGGAGAGTCTTATTTTACATACTGAAAATAGGTGGCAAAAGTTAGTAACAATAACAAAATGACACTGATTTGTTGTCTTTTGTATCGCTTTGCTTGGAATTTAACCATCAGGGAGTGAAAGTAATGCCAAAATTTTAAGCATAGGAACCTCAAGGAGCTATTTTGGGCAGACAGGTCTTTGCTTCCCTCAAATAAAACCATCTCATTGAACCATGACCAATGCCAAACCTACTTCTAATGCTTCAATTTGGGGATCATAAAAATAGTTTATACATTTCTACACATCCAAAATACAAAATTCAGGGCACAGTACAACTGCATTAGAAAGGGTATGGCGGTTACTTTTAAAAGCAAGCAATTCTAAGTATTTACCCAAGAGAAAACAAAAACCTGTGCTCATATAGACTTACTTATATAAGAATGATCATAGAAATTTATGATGACAATCCAGGAAAAACTGTGATATACAATGCATGGAACATTACTCAGTTATAAAGTTATGAACTAGCAATATACCCAGCTACATGGATGCACAAAACATTTTGGTAGTAAAGAAGCGTTGTAAAAGAGAGAGCATGATGTGTGATTTTATTTGCAATAAATGCTAGAACAGAAAAATCTAACATAACATAAAAAAAAAGGAACAGTGGTTGTATCTGGGGCCAAGTATGGGCCAGGGATTTACTGGAAAGGGCCATGTGGAAACGTTCGATAGTGGTCACAGTTTTCTATCTGGATAGCACTGTATGCAGTTGCCAAAACACAAAGGATGCAAAGGTCAAGTGCATTTAATTGTATGCTAATTTTATATCAAAAGAAAAATGTCAGCAAATATTGGTCCCTAGCTAATGACAGGTATGCTGAAGTATTTAGTAGGAACTGCACAGATGTCTGTCCATCAATATAGATTTGATGAACTGATGGATGGATGTGTGATTTAGCAAGCATAGTTAACATTAACTAGCATCTAGATGTTGAGTACACTATAAAACCATTTTAACATTTTTATTTGCTTGAAAAAATTTTAAATAGAATACTGGGAAACATCGGGTGCAACATTTACCAAAAAATGCCACTGAACTTCATTGCTGAGCTCGGGACAGTATAATCATCAAATTCTTCTAAGAGTCAGTTTAGAAACTTGTTTCTCTTAAGAGTGTGTCAAAGGATATACCAGAGTGTGAGGTGAACAATCAGTTCTCAAATCTACTCTAGCTCAAAATTGCCAAAGTGACATTTTGGTAGACCCTTGAAAAAATACATCTCTTTGGATGTCATGTTCTGAGCAAATCTGTTGGCTATATAGACCAACATCAGAGCTAAGATAAAGAAATTTTTCGTGAGAAAAATCAGCTGTAGAAATTATTCCTATCCTACTTTATACACTAAAAAAGAATCAGGGTAACTATATTAGAAAAGTCAAGGCTTGACCATGTGTAATGAATGGACCACCATGTCCTCAGTGGAGGGACATCTGATCTTCCTGTGGCTGAGGAAAGATGCATTTGGATAAACTAGACATGGAATTGAACTTGTAAATACTTCTCAGGTGCCGCCTTGAGACTCACTAGCGACTGGCTCCAGAGTTCAATAGCCCTTTTGTCAGAAACATTTTCCAAATGCCTGACTTAGAATCCCTCACAACCCTGCTCTCAAAATTTGTTAGTAATACTTTTAGTTGTATGCTAAAATTCCTGTATCATGGCATATAGGAATTACATGCTGCATCTTGCCTCATAAAAAGTGTTCACAACAATAATCTGTTTATAAGAAGTTTACTTACTGACTTTCAAAACATTTAGTTACAGTTCTTTCGTTTGATGTTGAAGTTCTTCATGTCCTAGTACAGGTTCTACTTTTTCTTCAAGTACAAGGACTAGTGTTTATTCTCAAGCTTTCAAGTTTGCTTTAAACTACTGCTGCAATGTTGAGTTGTTTGCCACCATAGCCATGGCCCTTTTTAAATCTTAAGGTCGCCCTGTATTTATGCGATCATATTCTCATTTCTAAGTCTCTACTACATGACCAGTCTTTTCCTGTTTATCATCACTGCCTGAGTTTGCCAAGGGTAGAGTTTGCTTCTCTACCCTTAAGCAGCACTAACGGTAGTCTTAAGTCAGCTTTTTAAACTCAGTATTGGGTTACTTTATAAATATCCTAAGAAACTTATGCTTTTGTTGTTTCTACTGGTTGACACTGATTTATTAATATTCACTCCGAGTATGATTTTCTTTTACTTGTGTTTAAACAGAGTTGTTTCATGGCCTGTCAACCTCAAAATAAAATATACTTATAACTAGTCTTCCATCTTACAGCTCTATCATCTTTCCATAAAACTGCAAATTTGTCAGTCTTATTCAATTCTGATGAAGGCACATATTGTATTTCAATATGCAATTCTGAATGTACACTTTCTTTATACACTAGTGAAATGGGATGGGGGAGTGAAGGGGAGATGGAACTTAGGGGGTAAACATAAACAATGTACCATTCCACAGCACTCCATGCTTGTCATCTCAGACAGAACAAGATTCAAGAACACTCTATTTTCTACTCTGAAAAGATAGTTATTGCAATGACTGGCCAGTTGGTATAACACTTTGGATTCCAACACTTTACATGATTATATTTCATTATTTAAATTACTTGATACGACTTCTCTATTTCACAGATATTAGAGCCCCAGAGAAATTCATTGATTTTTTTTATCAAGGCCACGATAAATGGAAAAGCCAGATTTTGAAGCCAAATATTCAAACTCCAAATTCTTCCCATTATATTCACTATAGCTCTTATTTTAGCTTTTATGATCGTTCCACAATTTTTCCCATTATTTGTGCTTTTAGCTAAGTCTAGAATTTTCTGGGGGTACACACTGAAGTCAAATAATGTCAAATGTTAAATATATACTTCATTTTGCCTCATAAAGGTATTTGTTGGCATCCATACTATCAGAGTATTTTCTAATTTCAACTGAAACTTTTCATTTCTATAACTGAAAATTAACACTGACAAGTTTGCCAATTAGGGTAACTGTCCAACTATGTTCAGTTCATCTTTTTAATTCTACAGAACTTTTCCTTTGGGGACTTAAGCCAAGACACCACAATCTTAAAAGTGTTGTCACTGATAATGATCTATTTACTGGTGCTTGTTTCTGCCTGCACCATTCTTTACAGGCTCAAGAGGTGGAGGACTTTGTAGCCATAACATTTTCGCTATGCATTTAATGCTTTGAATAAGATATGAAGATTGGAGAAGTACACAGTAACACTCAATGTCTACTGGCAAGTAACTTACAGTATACTAGAGAACTCTGAATTATTTCCTCAAATATATACTGCACAGTCAGATATATTATCTAGCCTCACAATCATACTACTGATTACCCATTCTCTGACTGAGATCAGAGAATATGGTTTGTTCATAAGCACTATCAGAAAAGTAACTGTCATGTTCATATTAAAGAGTATGGTACTAATAACAATAATAAACAAAACAGAACTTACATGTTGACTGGCAAGTAAATGAAGCAGCAAAAGCGTTAAGACTAGGTAATGCTCAGAAGCAACAGGCAACTGAAATCCCTGAAAAGAGAAGTGTCTAGTCTTCTGTTGAGGAATGAAGCCTAGACCTGCCATCAATCTCCCACCTGGAAGGCTGAGCAATTTCATTAATATCACCAATGGGTCACCCTTGCAGAATAAGGTCACTAGCATTGAGTACTGGGGACAAAGCTATGTTGATCTGAAATGAAGTTGTCATCTTTATGTAACTCTGCTGGGTTAGAACAGATGTTAAAATGCCACTATATATTGCGTTTATACCAAAGCAACTACATAATAAGAAGGCAAAAGAAAATAAATCTCTCAAACCAAAAATCCAGAAATGAGCCAAAACTAGCCCCATCAGCACTTCAACAATTCCCTGAGAAGGGTAAACTAATACGGAAGGTTGTGGCATGCACCAGTTAGAAATGAGTGATTCTTTTCAGCTATATTTGCAGGCCAGTGGTAATTTATGACACACAAAGGGCATGTGATTTCAAACAAACTTCAGTCACTTCCTTCACATGTACTCTAACTGAACTAAGAGACCAAAAGGGAAAAGTCACATTAGGACATTGCTGGGTTTGCATTCATAACTCTACACGTGTATACAAATACACATATATAAAGTAGCAGCAAATTTACAAATCATTAACAAAAATGCATCCTGCTAAAAGCATATGTAGCTTCATATTTACTACTCAAATTATAAATAAATTTCCAGATTTATGTTATTTTACTCCTTTTTGTAGGCTACAGAGCTTAGGGAACACAAAAAGAATGAATTTGGCAACTATGAGTCCATGAGCTGATGCTATTACTAATCAATCAGTTCTTCTTTTAGCAAAGCCATATCAAACGCGTTTTAGTGACTCGAATTTAGCAGGAGAAATAGATACTAAATAACTATACATCTTAATTATCTAAAATACCAAGCGACTGACTACTCTATAAGGAGATCCTTTCATAAGTTATTCCTAACTTCAGAAGTAAATATGTTTAAAACATACTTCAGAATGCAATACAAGTACCATGGGTAGGAAAACTGAACATCTGTTAGACATGAGCAAAACCCCAAGTATAGGACAAGTAGGACAAGATTCTTTCCCTCACGACATTACTACATAGCAAGAATGAATAGCAATGTCATGAATACTGAAAGGAACAATCACAAAGGTCCCTACTCATGGAAAGCCCTAAAAGGATTATCAAGTACAGAAAGAACTTCCTCCATGTTCTCTGAAGCAGTGGCAGTATAAGACAAGTGGAGGAGAATTTTTCCCTTTCTGGCATGTTTGAGTAGGAAAAAAAAAGGCTGCACCATTAAACAAAACTACTGTAGGAGGACAAAGGTAAGAAATATGATAAATTCTTCATCTAAGTTGAAATGTCAGGCAGGCAGTTGAAAACACACATTCAGCATTTTGGACCAGATACATAATGCAGGACATTGGGATGAAATCAAAACCCTAAGGATGAGATCCCTACAGAAGAGTCAGAAGCATTCTGAGGAGAAAATCTCAGAGCGTTCATGTTCAGAAGACATATCCTAAATGAGAGTCACACAACTATACTCACAGTTATGGCAGAGGCTAGCATCTTTGATGGATGAAACACTGGGAAAGAGTGCTCAGTGGAGCAAATGTTAAAGAGAACTGAGAAAGAGACGTTCCATTTAGTAACTGCAAAATCAGCATTACTTTGAAAACAGCAGTTCCATTAGGGTGCTGTGCAGTGAGTGAAGAGGATGCAGAGGCAATGGAAAAGGCTTCTCCAAGAACTGTGGCAGTGAAGAAGGCTAGAGAAACAGCAGGTTCAGAGGGGCTCTCAGAGAACACATGAACATTTTTGTGGACCTCGAAAAGGAAACAGCATACAATTCTTTGCATAATTTTGTACTGAACACAAACTGAAAAACTATTTTGAATCATTAGGAAACATTCTGAAATAAAAATTCACACAAAAATTAAATTATATGCATTTTATAATTTAAACAATATAAATGTAAAAGTACTACCATTTCACAATAAATTTTATTTCTCAAGGAATCCTACAATTTTTGTGATCTGACTACTTCAGAATTGATTTTGCCTCTAGTCTGTGAAGAGAAATTAAATTTTATTAACAATTCTATTTTAGTTATAGAAAGAATTACTCTGACACACAGGACTCCACTGAAGTAATTATGTATGCCTTCTTCCTCGAGCTCTCCTCTCTCAAAGACAAAATACCTTCAGGGTAATCAATAATTTGGATAGTATTTTTCAAGTTGAAGTAGAGAAAAATTAAAAACAGTATTCCATTATTATCAAGTTCTTAAAGATCTAAATTATTCTTCACAATTATTTTTATGATAAAACATGCTTATTGATTATATACACATGCTTACATACGAATTTCCTGGCTAAAATACATGCAACCACCATGTAAAAACAGTTATTAAACCATCCTCACAATTCTAAGAATGCCGTTTGTAATAAGGCACTCATGTTAGAGATAGGATATAACCACCAAATTAAATAAGACGCTTAAAGAAGGCTTTTATTAAGCACAAACAACTTTTAATACATTATCAATACAAATAGGAAAATGTCTTTTAATGAATATGATATATCAAAGATCTGAAGGATTTTCTCCATATGGACACAATAAAAATAATCAATTTTGAAGAAGAATTACAAAGTAAAATTTTGAGGGCACCGCTACTAAGAACAGTTTAACTATAGTCTAAACTTACTACATCACCATGTTTTAATAGAGAGAATTCCTAAACTCTTATTAGCACCATTCAAAGCTTAGTATCAGTTGTTCATCTACAAACTGACAGATCAGATAAAGCTTGAGAGCAAGTTTTCAGTGCAATGTTTACAGTTCCTTCTTTTACAACAACCTGGAGTCTATGATCTCAAAGCAGGTTAAATAATTATGCCTTGGTAGTTGAGAGGTGTTTAGCATGTGGAGAGAAATATGTCATGGGAAGAAATGAGGCTTATCCTGCTGTGAAATGTGTCTTAAACGTGTTGAGGCTAGTGCTGCAGTATGCCGACATGCGGGAGAATGAACTGCAGGTCTTCGGATAGCTGGTAGCTATTAGCTCTCAGTGGTCACCATTTCAGGATGTCTCAGCTGCTGCCTTTTGAGACTAACTAGTTTCATCCTGTCTCTGATGTGTTCTGCAGTAGAAGCCATGTCACTTGGACTCCCAAAATATTGTTCGGTTCTAAAATCAAAACACAGAGAAACTGCAAATTAAAACAAATTCATTTAACAGCAACAAATGCAAAAGGCAGCAAACATTACCATAAGAAGTGTCTGTGTGACATGGACTATGTGTAAAAATTAGTTCACTGGCAAACAATGCTGTAGGAAAAAAATATTTTTAAATAATATAAAATGTTAAGAAATGACAAAAATATATTAGTGGTACAGATGTCATCACATCCCAGGTACTTATGATAATCTCAATAAACCAAACAATGAAACTGTGGAGATGCTGCCTTTCTTTTACTTCTGGGTCCACACACGCACACAAACATAAAATGTGCTCGTGTGCTCCATTGCCAAGGACTGTGTATGCCAATTATTGAAAGTAGTCGGTAAGTAAAATATTCTTTTTGGTGTATTAATAGTTAAAAGTAATTTCCTTGTACCTATTTTTATTTTACTTGCAAAGACACTGTATTCAGAGTCATAAACCCTTTTGTAGATGAAAGTGTCCTTGAAAACTATCTGGTTAATGTCTTCATCTTTAAGATCAGAAAATGGAGACCTAGAAAGTTAAATGATTTAAACGAAGATCAAATGGCAGAAAATCAAGATTTGCTTTTCTTTTGTTGTTATTGTTGTTGCTTTAGTGCTGGGGACTGAACCCAGGACCTTGTGCATGCTAGGCAATGGCTCTTACCACAGAGCTACAATCAAGATTTGAACCTTGGCAGGGCATGGCAGCCTACACCTGTAATCCCAGCCTGCTTGGGAGGTAGAGATAAGGATTGAGGTTTGAGGCCACCCTAGGCAAAAAGTTAATAGTTACACCAAGCATGGTGGTGCATGCCTATGGTACCAGATAATGCAGGAGGTTGTATTTAGGTGGATTTTAGTCAAGGCTAGCCCCAGGCCAAGAAAAAAAAGTAAGACCCTATCTAAAAAACTCAAAGTAACCTAAAAAGGGATGTGGCTCATGTGGCAGAGACCTGTCTAGCAAGTGCAAGGCCCTAAATTCAAATCCCAGTACCATTAAGAAAAAAAAATTTTGAACCTAAGTCTTCAAAGTATGAGTCCATATCTTTTATGGATTTTCTTTTAGTTTACTGGGAGACTGCAGAAAAGATAAATCTGAATACCATGCCAAACAAACTTTCCACAGCACTGGCAAATTATCTTCATAACCATTACAGAAAACATACTCGGGATAATTTGAGATTTAATACAACAAAATAACTAACATGTATGTGTTTTACTATGAGTCTGAAATAGAATTAAAAAATGTATTTTACTATGAATCTGAAACAGAATAAAAAAATTTCAACTATTTCAATATTTGAAATATTATGAAACTGAATATCAGTTTTTATTCTTTTATCTCAAAAGAATTAGGAATGTCACGAGTGATATCTGAGGGACACAGGAAGCGAAGCCCGAGCACAGACCTTCCCAGGCAGACCTAAGCAGACTAGAACACTGACCATTTATCAAGAGCTGTGGAGCACAGGGCTGAGGTGCGTGTTTCTCGCACGGAACAACTAGAATCACCTCTATAACATTACCAGCTGAATTTTGTTCTCTTGTCACAGGTAAATCATATGACAACTTCAGGTACGTTTTACAGTCCAAGTTTAAGCATGACTAGAAATGAAGAACAGACTATGTACTTCCAAGGGAGTGAAATGACATCTTTTCAATATCAATCCCAAATAACCACTGGGAGTTCTTGACGCAGCAACAGTAGTGCTTATTCTGTTTTAAGCATTTTCCTGACATTAGCTCAGGAAACCCTCCACCCCTGTAACCTGAAGAAGTACAAGTATCCCATCTTGTTTTCAGGTGAAGGTATGAGGTGGGGAGGTGAAATGGCTTACCCACGGTGCTACTAAGTCTTGGAGCTGACATCGGGCTCCAGCTCCACGCTCTCCTCCACCACACTCTACCACAAAGTAAGATACTTGCACTTTATTCAACGGTTTTGTTCCTCTACAGCTTAAATGAAATGTCCTCTGGATCATGGAGAAAGTGCAGATTGCCAGGGATGAAACTCCTTCTGATTCTTTTTCTGGCTTAGTGATCTGCATCACATTGCTTCATATTGTTATCATTGACCATTTAAGATGGAAAGGAATGTGGGAATTATTTTACACATGAAAAAAATTAGGATTCCTTATAACACAGTGAAAGGAGAAAGCATTTGAGTTACACAGACCTGAGACTGTATCCTACCTCCAACACCTAGAAGCTGTGAAATCCTGGTCATCTTTACTTGATCTTTCTGAGCCACAGTCTGTTCTAATTCAGGAATAATCAAAGTGGCCTGACACTGTTTGGTGAGAAGTAATGAGGGCAAGGTGCTAAAGTTGCACTTGACACATATTATGAGCACACTAAGCATTAGTCCCTTCCCAAAGTCCTAGCCCAAAGTCACTTCTTTCCCTGACAACACAGTCAAGGCTAGAACCCAGTGTCTCAATCTAGTCAGTGACTGACCTTCTACAGCAAAGAAGCAACAAATTTGGTATCAGCAAGCACCAATTGTTACTATTGCTGAGTTTGGATTTCTTTCTTTGCAATTTAAACCAATTTATTATAGGAATTGAACATGTGGACCAAAGTTAATTTACTTGGTATTTTTAAAGAATAGATTTTCCACTTTTAATAATTTCACTTTGAGATCTAACCAATAAAAAAGCTAAAATTAGAAGAACATGCACCATACCCATCAGGATAAACTACAGGAACAGTTAATCTGTCCAAAAGTGATTTTCCAACTGCTTCAATTTCATCAAATTGTTCCTCATCATTAATACCTTCAGGCTCTTCTGGACAGTCTTGCAAAATCTTCAAGAAATAAAAGAGTAACAATCAATCAAGACACAGTAATGGAATCAAGTTCATACAAATTGAGCATGTTGAAGATGATTGTTGCTTTATTTTTAGCACTTTCATGTACAACTTAGTACAAGATTAAGCTATTACTAGTAAAGGTGGCTCAAGAAATTCTAATGATAAAAGGAAATATATAATCCTGACTAACACTATATAATCAAGAGTGTGAAAAGGTCTATAGTGATTTCCAAGAAGAAATAATTAATAGACTACTACTATTTGGAAAAAGAAGTTCAACTTGTGCTTAAGAACTATTCTCTAACATTAGGCAACCATTTACTAAACATATTTTGTATGTTTATGTAGTGGGAGGTGGAGTTGGGAGGATCACAGTTGAAGACTAACCTGGCCAAAAAGTTCGTGAGACCCCCCCCCACCTCAACAAATTAAAAAAAGTTGGGTGTGGTGGTACATGCCTGTCATTCCAGCTATGCAGGAGGCATAAATAGGAGGATCATGGTACAGGAAGGTCCAGGCATAAACGTGAGACCTTACTTGAAAACTAAATGAAGCAAAATGGGCTGGGGTATGGCTCAAATGGTAGAACAAGCTTGGCTAGCAAGTGCAAGGTCCTGAGTTCAAACTCTAGTATTACAAAAGACAAACAAAAACTACTCAGCCATATTTCTTCTTATACAGCCTCCCAAAGAGTTCTAGATTTTAAAATGTCCTTGCAGATACATTTAAAAGTAGTCTCCTAAAAAGTTAGAAATTGGACCAATGGTCACCTTTTGATTAGAGGAACGGTATTGTGACCACAAGAGCACAGAGAGAGCCTCTAGGGTACTGGTAATGTTGTCTTGTAGCAGTACACTGATTACACAGGCACGCTTACTTAGTAAAACTTCATCAAGCAGAGAACCCTTAAGGGCTGTATAGTTTTGTACATTAATAATAAAAATTAAAAATAATAAAATTTCATTGAGATAATCAGTAAACAAGTCAAGCCATCTTATATACTTTGTTTTCATTTGTTTATTTTTTTTGAGAGAGTGTCTTGCTCTGTATCCCAGACTGGCCTCAAACTCGAGATCCTCTTGCTTTGCCTCCTGAGTGCTGGGATTACAGTGCAGCACCACTCCTGGCTTCACTGGGCCCATTTTAACCAAAACACTGATTCGCAAAGTTCACTGGCCAGGTGAGAAATTAACAATGGACACTTTCCAATAGTCACACTTAATAGAAACTGCTTGATTCCCGAGGCTCCCTGAAACAGCTGTTCTGCTCTACACACCAGGGTATAGCTTAGGTTTTCCATGTATTAAAGCATATTCCATATCCCTTAAGGATAAATTTCCATTGTAAGAAATCAAAACAAAATTAACTACATAATAAAGCTCATCTTCAGAACAGAAACATAAGGCTTGGGTGCTACACATTTTTACAGTGAAAAGTAAGAAAAAGTTTCTATTAAAAATTTGCTCAAACACCTACATATATTCTTATTGTTGGTTTCTAGGATGAATGACTGAATTCATTGAAAAATAAATTCTTGAATTAACCTTTAAAGACAACGTGTGAGTTTATTTTCATCCTTATTCTCATTATTTTAGCTTGACGGTCTCTACCTTAAACTATAAAATCACATAGTAACTTTTAAAAGTTTGTGACAATTAGTAGTGGTTGCCAGAGCAGCTTCCTTTCCTGATATAATGAGGGACATCGTGACACTCCAGAGAACAGAGAAGCCCAGGAAGTCCATGTGCTTGGTAAAGAGAGCAGCAGAAGTGAGGTCTGGCAGGGGTTCTAGATTTCTCCAACAATGTCATCCAGCACTGTGAGGAGTAAGGAAACTTAACAGCCTAAGACAATATATTATATGTAAACTTTAACAACAGAATGAATATATATTTTAACAAATAATCATGTAATTACATGATTAGAATTAACGCATTTTAAACATATGCAATAAACAGCAGTAGGAGACTACAGTATGAAACAAGGCAAACCTTTTCAGCATTTGAGTGAAATGCAATGGCCATTTCCAACCGATGTACTCTCTCTTCAGAGGCCATCGTAAATTGTTTCCATACTCTATTCAGTCGAGGCAGTGTATCTCCAGAGGATCGAGAAGTACAGCGCAGAGACTGGCACAACACCACTGTGGCTTGTAGCAACTGCCTACCATAGTCATAAGTGCTCTAAAACAGAAAAAAGTACAGGTGGAATTATAACCAAAAAGTCTGAAGAGGAGGGGGAAAGGTGCACGGGGAGAACTGTGGTTGCAATTACATGACACTACTAGAAATCAATACTGAATCCGTCTGTGGCCCTTATTACTATATGTGATCTGTATGCATAAATAACAAAGTGGAAGCAATGTGTTTAGTTAGCTCATAAGTTTCTTTCTTTGTAAGCTTCCCTTCTTATTCTGTGCTTCCCATTTTAGTCTGTCAAATTCTACTGGCAAAAAAGATGTCAATTCACTAATTACCAAAACGAGTAGGTGAAATTGGGTATTTTATATTCCACATAGGAAACCACAACTGTTGCAATGTGAACTCAATTATTAGTGAAATACATTAAGATACTGTAAGGCAGAAAAGTAATTCTGTATTATTACACTAACATTAGTGAGATGCAGAAATGAGTTTCTAATTTACTGATATTAACATATATTTCATATTAACTTCTGTAGGTGAACAGTGGATTGCCATAAAGAATACCATAATATGCAATATAAATCAGAGGGAGCATACAGAACCTGTATTTGGGAAAACAAACCCTCTCACGTTTATGCAGGCTAGTTTTGATGCATCAGATGGCATGTTCTTAATTTTGAGATATTTCTGGGATAACAAAACTAACCTTCTTGGACTTGGAGGGTTAAGTTACATTATAATCATGCAGAAAGCTATTCAAACACTGAGCTTGTAGGAAAGGAAGATAATCAGTTCTGCACCTGTGCAACATCAACAAATTTTCTATGCTTTTCCAGCAAGACTTTGGTTTCTTGAGCATCATCACCCAATCTGATGTGCGTCTTAAGCAGAGCATCCAGAAGTTCACTTAGCCATTCTACTGCCTGAAGGAAAATACAGAATGGTGAGCAGGAGTCACAACTCTTTATTATTATAGCAAAACATTACATTTATACAAAGATTACCACTTTGAGATTAATTAATCCATTCATTATAACCAAATTTTTTTGGCTTTATTATTATAGCAAAACATTACATTTATACAAAGATTACCACTTTGAGATTAATTAATCCATTCATTATAACCAATTTTTTTTGGTTACTGGGGATTGAACTCAGAGCTTTGCACTTGCTAGGCAAGCACTCTGACACTTCAATCACAACCCAATACTTTTCTAGTTTATCTTTCAGATAAAGTCTCATGCTTTTTTTCCCTGGCTGGTGTCCTCCTTTGCCTCCTAAATAACTGAGATTACAGGTGTGTACCACCAGTTTTTGAGATAGGGCCTTTCTACTTTTTTGTCCAGGTTGGCCTCAAACATCGATCCTCCTATTCTGCCTTCAGAGTAGCTGGGATTTGAGATATGCACCACTCATGCTTAGCCAGTTATTTTTTTTTTGAATTTTCATTAGTATATAATAGTTGTACAGGGGGTTTAGTTGTAATATTTCCATACATGTGTACAATGTATCCCAGTTTGGTTCTTAATACTTATTTCATTCAGTGTCACACTACATGAATTAATGACCACTCCTACTCCTCAATGTTTTTCAGATCTAAAGCAACACCTATAAGCACCCTTTTAAAATTAATATCACATAATGAAAGACCTGTATTTCTGTAATAGATACATTGGGATTGCATTATAGATTTTTACTATTTGAAATCATAAATTCTCTATCAAGATGAGACAATATGCTTATCTGGCATTGAAAATTGTCTTGTGGGTAGAAAGCAATGTGTTTCACCAGCCTTTATCCTGGGACATAACTAACAACCTAGTCAATAATAATCTGTAATAAATACTTCCAATCTCTAGTTCAATAGGAACGTTCACTGAGAGGAGAAAAATGAGATCACTCAAGTAGCTGGAAATACTAAACTTTATTCTTTACAGGATAAACTAGAATCTGACTTAATGAATTTACTTTCTTAGAACCATGACAGGTACACTTTTGTTTACAGGTAAATGAACTCAATGGTATATAGAAAGACAACGTTCTAATGTACTTGACAGTCCTTACCTGGGCAGCATCCTCTTCACATTTGAACAGCTGCACCATCTGTAGCATCTTTAACCTTCGCACATCTACCATGTCTTCACATCTAATGGGGTCAACATAAATTCAGCTTATCACTTTGGTTTCAAAGATTTATAGCATCATCATTCAGCACACGTCTTACTGTATACTAAGATACGCAGTCCTACATTATGGAGGCTGCAACTATTTTGTATTGACTTGTAAGAAATTTAGGAGTATCTAATCTATATCTATGTTGCATCAAAATTCTAAAGTACCTGATTAACACTGAATGACAAACCCTCTTGAGGATAGCATGGATTCTGCAAAATACTGAAGCAAAGCATAAATGCAACAGGACACTAAACCCCAAAGAAACCTATGTTGCCAATCTACATTAAATACACTTCAAAAGTAAAAATATAAAGTTTGTACATGATGTTCTAAGGAAATTTTTTAAATTAACACTTTTCATAAATTACATTATCTGGAATAATATTAATTCTGAATTTTTAAAAAAAACTTCCACCTACATTTTCAACAGAAAAAAATGATCTTTGGGTGGAAAGAAACACAATTTAAAGCATTTTGTAATCTTTCTGCTGTCTGCTTGGATAACATACAGATTAAACTTTAAGTGTTTCTTGACCTAACTCAGCTCTGATCCACTTCCCTCATTCCCATATAATTCCATATACGTGAGGTGGCAATGAGGGACTACTGCAGTCCCGCATATCAATGACAAGCAACCAAACAGACACCAGGCTCTACTACAGTCAGTGTCTTAAAGAAAACGTAACAATACAAAAGTAGTTTTCATAGGATTGTTTTTCACAGAGATGTTCTCAATAAGGGATTGTAGGAAAGTGGTAACTTTTTAAAATCTAAAACTAAAAAACAATGTAAGACACTTTAATGATAAAGAAGGTATCATACATATTACATGTCAGGTACTAGGGAAATTAGACTTGTTCTCTACAATTAAGATGTTCTCATTTTGGGAGATGGATTTTAGACAGACAATGTGACAAATGCTATTATGGATCTTTGTAAAAGGTTTTATGAGAGCGGGGAAGAACTGACTAACTTGCCTTGGAAATCCTAAAAGGCTTTCTAGGTCTTGAAGAGTAAGTGGGAATCCACTAGACTGAAAATGAGGAAAGAAGTATTCTTCATCATGAATGTAAGAAACAGCATGATGAATTCAAGAAAAATGAACATCACTATATAGTTTTGAGGGAAAGTTATAAACAATAAGATAATGCAGGATTGAACGATGCAGGGTCTCCTACACTATTCCAAGGAAACTGAACTTCATCTGAAGAAAACAGAAAGTCACCAAAGGAGGTTTGATTCGATCTTTGTATTTTATAAGCATGTGTACAAAAGGCTGAAGAGGAACAACATCTGAGGCAGATAAGAGATGCAAATACAGCAATATTATGAAAAACACGTCATGCTAAGGGGAGGTCACTAGTGGGAGAGGGAGGATAAAAGAAGGAAGTTAAGAAGGAGAATATGGGTGATGTACTTTCTATACCAAAATGAATATAGAACTTTTAAGTCTATTGAAATCACCATAAGAAGGGGACAAAGGTAGACAGGAGAAAAATAAAGGAGATGAACCAATTCTAGTTATAATACATATGTACATGGAAATGCCACAAGGAAACTCCCTGTATCTTATCTTAAACAAACAAAAATAACTTTTCTCAAAAATGGAAAATAGGAAGGTAAAACAGGTCCTATCTAGGAGTTGGTACCAGTGGGACGAGGAAGAATATTAGGAAAGGGTGAAGGAGGCTGAATGTGGTGGGAATATTATGTACTCAGGTATAAAAATGAAAACAAGAGATATGTTGAAACTGTTCTAGGAATCAGAGGCAGAGGAAAGAATACAGGAAAATGGTGGAGGGGGTGAATTCAACAATGATATACTGTAAAAACTTTAAGTGTCACAATATACCCCATGCACAACAATAATATAATGAAAGATAAAATTTTGAACAAAGAAATGTTTCAGGATTTAGTGATGGCAGAACTTGTCCAAGGGATGAGGACAAATTCTATGTTCGGTCACTGATGATAATTTCAGCCTGAGGAGGACATTAAAAGAGAGAGAGGAAGGAGGTTGGTGGTGGTGGGGGGGGAGGCAGAATTCCACTATGGACATATCAGGTTTGAGGAGTATACAAATAAGATACTGAGCCGTCAATCTGCATGAAGGACTGAGAGCACAGGAGGGGTCTTGGTAAGAGCCATAACTAGTAAACCATGATCGTGTTTTTTAGTCAGTAAAGAGTGAGACTGTCCAAAGACAACACAGAGAGAAAAGGATCAGGTCTCACAACAAACCCTGGAAGCTGTGACTTTAGCTAGAGGATAAGAAATGAAAGAAAAACAAAAGAAAGAGTGCCAGAGGAGGACTACAGGGTGTTTTGATGGAAAACATCATGGTCAGGGAGTTTCAAGGAGAAACAAAAAGTCAGTCATATTCAGTGCTATTCAAAATCAAGCAGATCATGGGCTGGCAGCATGGCTCAAGTGGTGAAGTGCCTGCCTAGCATGCACAAAACCCAGAGTTCAAACCCTACTACTGCCAAAAAAACCAAAAAATAAAAAATAGAAATTGAGCAGGTCAGGACTAAAATATTCCCTAGATTTTGAGCAAGATCAAGTACTTATTTCTTATGATGATTACAAGTTAGTGTAAGAGAAATGGTGAAATGGTAAGGGTAGAGGAAAGACTGTAAAGTGATAAAAAAAAAAAATAAACTGAGGTAGTAAGGAATGCAGATTAAGACCTGCAAACAACGTAGCTGTGAGAAAGAGCACTAATGCTAGAAGAGAGAAGGTTAAGGAAGATACACATCTTTATAAAATAATTCTATGTGAATAACTACTTATTATATTTTACATAGGTGAGATTAAGTATCAAAATGATGACCAGAAATCAGAGTAGAGAATGGGAATGGGAATGAGAAGACAGGAAGGTGACAGCAATCAGGACTGGTCTTGTAAGAGGAGAGAGCTGCCATCCTCTGTAGAGATGGGTCTGCAGATACAGAACATGGTACAGAAGGAATTCTTGCATTATGACTGTTTTCTTTTTGAGTAGGGGAAGTTTCTTTGACATCCTGTCCAGGACTTTAAGATTTCTGAGTGCAATATTGTATACAATCATTCTAGATCATGTATGTTTTCCTGTATAATTTTAACCTTTTACTGTGTACTAGTTTCAAGTTGCTATTGTAAATTGGGTTTCTAAAGAATCCCTTAATCCCCAAATGAAACTCAACATCTTCATTAGTCCACTGGCTAATCCTTCTACAGCAAACATGAGAACAATGGATGTGTGACATAAGAAGCTGAGAGGAAGAAAGATCAGTAGATGAGGTTTAATAGCAATTTTACACTAAATGAAAATAGAAAAGCACATTTCTCCGTGAAGGTTTCCTTAATGCAAAGCAGAATCATAGGGTACAAAATGTGAAATACTTCAGTATAACTGAAATCTCTACTACCAAGTAAAAGAGGAAAAAGTACCCATCAATTGAACAAATTGTCATTACTTATTAGTACAATTATGTATAATAATTATTACATTCAACAAAAACCTACTATGTGCCTAGTCTATAACAGGTAAGGACTTAGTTTGTAAGTAAAATACAAATTATTTAGCTTTCATTTTACTATTATGTTATCTTGGTCAATTTAACATGAACTTTGCCTTTGTTTCCTAAGCTGCATATCTTCCATCACTCCTTGTATGTGGTCCACATTTTCTTTATTTTCAATAGTTACATCCTTTCCATAGGCCCAGGATGCCTGATTGGAGATCTGATCCAGGAGACCTTGACCTTTTTCACGCAAACCTTGTAATCCCACATCTAAAACAAAAGTTACTGGAGTTAATATCTTAAACAACCAAGGTATTTTCCCTCCCTCAAATAAATTCTCTCAGCAGATAGTGTACTTGGATTCCAAGCATAAAAGCTTCATACATTAAACTTTGTTGGGATGGAGTCCTCTGAACTTCAAAAATAAAATTCTTTAAGTAGAGCTCAAAGCAAAGCTCTTTCTCATGCCAAATTCTCCCTAAAGGGAATTTTTAAAATCTGAATCTCCATAGATAATAATTACTTTTAAAAATTAAAAGCAGGAAAAAATATGAGAATTCCTATTTTGACAAAATGTTTCTATTTTTCCCCCTTTTTTGCTTTCATGTGTTCCTACTTTTAGGGCAATGATGCAAATATTTTGTTTAAAAATATGTAAGATTTGCAAGATTTCAAAATACTCACACAATTTATTATCAAAGTAAAAGGAGGCTGAACACTGTTACTAAGTATTAGTCTAGCTCACATACCATAGAGAGCAGCATTGGATATGTTTGTAATACTCCAAATTAGACAGGTACATAGGAATTCTCTTTTTAAGAAAAAGTATGGCTCAAGAAAACTTTTAATACCTTAAAATTTATTTGGCATATTAAATATGTGTTATGTATGCCATGTTAAATTAACAAAAGTTATAAGCAAGTAAAATGGCAATACAATAATGTTTTTTCACACCAGTTCTCTAAAATTGCTTTCCATAATTAATTAATTAGCTTAATTACATGTTATCACTTTCTACTAACTCTGCCTTAAGTTCCTGAATCTTCCTCCCTCTTCTCCTTCAATAGGCACTTTTACACTCCCACCTAGGGAAGTTCACTGTACTTACTACTATAGAAACATTTAAAATGTCAAGGTCAAATGACAGAGTTAGCTTAATGAAACTGTGGAGACTATGTAACCTTGGCAATATTTCCAGTGTGGAAAACCAAATGCACAGATCAAAACCAACTATTTCCACAAGGTTAGGAGATAGCAACAACAAAACTCATTGCATAAAACACAGTTTGGGGCATACAGGATATACCACAGAACACTTCACAACTATTACAGTTTATGCATGCACTACAGATAACTGTTTCTAGTATATACAAGACATAACACCTGGAGATACAGCTGAGTAAACAAGAAAGGTTAAAGGCCCCATGAAAGGAGAAGGGACTAATCACAATGCAGAACAAACTATTTTGCATAAATTATTCCCCCTTGAGGGAATAAAACCTTTCCATACTGTTTTTCCTGAGTTCTCTACGAATAATTAGTTCAATAATAGTTAACTTAATTGTCTAATGATAATAATGATATATTTTTAAAAGGACTCTTATGTTTCAGCATTTTTAAAATCTGCTTACCAACACTTTTCAGCTTCTCTTCAAGCAGTTTTAAAGTTTGCTGAATCGATGCTCCATCAGCTGGTGCTACATCTACGCACAACATCCCTAATAAGCCATCCAACTGCTGAGACAACTAAAGCAGAGGGACACCAAAGAGATAACCCCGATGTAATCAGCATCTAAAGTGTTTAATGATTAATGAGGTTTATCTAATGAGGTCATCACAATTACACTTGAAAACACTATGCTGTTAAAAGACAAGGACGGATAATCAGAATACAAGTTATCTGGAAGATGGAATACACAGATGCATGCACCAGGAAGACAAGGAAGTATATCCAGGTCAGCAGAATGCACAACAATTATTGATACTTCCATTTCCACCTATGTTATGAAAGCACACATTGAGAAACAGTCAAAGTGAAATACATCTACTTCAGAACCCTCTAGTTAGACAGTAAAAGGTTTAATTGCATGCAGAGTGATTTTTTTTTTAACCCAAGAATTTTATCTCATTATCCCCACCAGCAAATCATTGTTCTAGAAAAAGAATTAGGAGGCATGCAATCCTGCAAAAATTGTGTAGACTGTTTGGATCATTTGAAGAAAAGAAAAACAGTCAGAATAGACACTTACATCTTGGGCGACACCATGAAATTCAAGAGCCGCCTGTAAGAGATTTTGCCTAAATTCCAGCTGACTGGCCTGTCGATAACAAACATCGCTAAGCTGCTGCTGCAGAGACTTCAGTTCCACAAGATCTTCCTCATCCCCAGCATTCAAGAGTGCTGCAATTTGCTGATTAAGCTCAACATATACTGCAAACCATTCCTGTAACGAAATGTTGCAAAGTAAGTTAAAGGTTAAATTAGCTCCTAGAAGACATATTTGATCACTTCTCCAGATAAACCAAGTAACATAAACAAATGCATTTACAAGGTGAAATTATTTACACTGAGGATGAAAAGTCCCCTACCTCCAAATCATTCCTCTGTGATTCTTGGAACTCACTGCCTTGCGAATACCAAAATCTACGGTATCCATATCCTGGCTTCTAAAATTCCTTTTTTTCCTGTACTAACTGCAACCTGACCACCCTCAGAAAACACAGCTATCCCTGAGCTCTCAAACCACTTACTGTTTTTTGTCACCCAACATACCACAAGCTTGAAGGTGGGTTTGATGGTTTCCTCATTCCTCACTACTATTTCCAGACCATTTCTCCCTCTGCTCTCAAGAGACCAGATCACCTTTGAAGCACAAGCTGCTGGAATTCATCCTTCCTGGTTCCTGGTGCATATCCTCATCCACAGAGAGGTATGGCAAAGGTCCTGCTTTCCTCTCAGCACCAGCCTTCATAGTAATGCTCCCATCACTTAGACATGAAGCAACACCTTGAACTCAGTAACTTGACTTCCTTCCTCACTTCCACCTCACCTACTCCTCTGGCCAAAAAAAAAAAAACAGGTCATATGCTACTATAAAGTTCCCAAACCCTCAATCTCATGAATCCCATTCTCTGACTTACAGGTACTGACTCCAATTTCCTTGTTTTAGCATGCTCATACACCTATAACCCAATGAAACCCACCAATCTACTGTCCTCAGTATGTTCTCTGTCAAGCACTTGGCAATCTCTCATCCTTACTTCTATCCTTGGTCAAAGGTTATAACCACCTCCCAACATACAACCCACGCCATGTCCTGCCCTGCCCTACTTTCTTCTGTCAGAAGGACAATCAATGAAGGACCACATAGACAATGGCAATTCTGTAAGATTATGTAGCCTAATTGACATGGTAGCCGCCTTCATTTATGTTAAGTGTACTCTGTGATGTTTATACAGCGACAAAGTTACCTAAAAATGCATTTCTCAGAGCACATCCCCAATGTTAAGTAATCCATGCTTGTATGTGGATAGTTCTCCTTTTAAAGTTATAACTAAATAAACTCCAACAAACCTTTGGCAATCCTCTTATTTCTCGAGTCAACTCCCCCATTCTCATGATTCTTTGTGGTTTTTTATTCCTTAAACCTCCAATCCCTTTTTTTGACTCTTCACTTGTAGTCAAAGATCTTATCTTTTTAATTTTTCACCTTTTAAAAAAGTTACAATTACTAATGTATATTAGTTATACATATTAATGGGCTTCCCTGTGACATTTCCATATATGCATACATCATGCTTTAATTATATCAAAGACCTTCTTAATTCACTGGAAAGAAATCAGAACTCCATTTTTTCACCAACAAATCTATGACCATCTCTTCTTCTGCAGCGCGCTGCTATGTTCTCACTATTGAAATCAGGATCTCAGTCCACTTGTGCATTGTATCCTATCTTCTGCTGCCTACACAAAGCTTTGCTCTTGCAATTCTCTTTCTCACCCATCAATTCTTTTTCAATTGGATTATTTCCATCAGCTGTAATATCTTACATTAAACAAAATACACACTAAGATTTGTCCATTTTAACATTTTATAAGAAACCTCTAGAGAAAAAAAATCATGACAGCTGGAGATGTAGCTCAGTGGTAGAGAACTTGCCTAGCATGTGTAAGACTCTGGGTTCAATCCCCAGCTTGTGTGTGAGCGCACACACACACAACTTAGGAGTTCTCCACACTCATTCTTTCATTTCCCATTCTCTTTTTAATTCACTCAACCAGAATTCTGTACTTCCCACTATTCTGAACCAATCTTGTCAAGTTCTCTTAAAATTCTAAAAGCATGGTCCTTCCATCAGTAAGTGTTGTTGGCTCAACCTCATGAACCTAACAACTACCCATCACTTCTGCTGCCTCCAATCTGATTGCCTTAGTCTTCTATTTTCCTCCACATACTTCTCTGGCCCCAACTCTCCAATGATTTTATATAACATTTAAAATAAAACTTTAAGCTCCCTTTTCATAGGCTAAAAGACATTACATATTATAACCTCAAAACTTCATTTTCTGTGTCTATCTTATTCCTTGTTTTCAGGCAATGTCAACAGTTTTGTTCCTTAATCATGTTCCTGCCACAGGGCATGTCAATTGTTCTGTCTTCTGCCTACCAGCACTTTACTATTTCATACCACTTCGAGGTTTCTGATTAAATGTCATCTCCTCAAGGATCTTTTCTAAACACCGAAATACTATACCTCTATTGCTCTCTACTCCTTATCTCCCAAACTTGAATAAATTCCACATGCTAAGATTGTTCCATAATCCAAGAACGTAGAACTACATGACATATAGTATGAGCTCAACTAAGATAGGATGAATGAATGCAGAAAATGTGTTAAGTATTGTGACCAGGCACTGGTGGCATGAGCTTGTCATCCCAAACCATGAGAAAGGCTGAGATTGGGAGGATTGCAGTTCCAGGCCAGCTTGGGCAAAAAAGTTTGTGAGATTCCCATCTCAACAGAAAAAAGCTGAGCAGAGTGATGTGCGCCTGTCACCCCAAGCTACATAAGCAACTTAAAATAGGAGGCTCATAGTCTAGGCCTGCCTGAGCAAGTGAGACTCTCATCTCAATAATCAAAGTAGAAAGGGATGGACACATGACTCAAGCAGTAGAGTGGTTATCACAAAAGAAGAAAGATGCTACTGCATCTACTCAGTAGAGACCAGTAAACCTACTAAATACCCTACAATGCACAGGACAGCCCCTACAACAAAGATTTATCTGACCTAAATTATCAATAGTGCCAATGTCCAGAACCCCTGCTCCACCCAATAGTGATAATACCTGTCCTATCTACGTTATTGGTTAGTGTATGGAATAATTAGATAATATATGTACGATAATTCTAAAACTACAGAGTTAATATTGATTAGTGGAGACTGGTTGTTTTAAAGTAGAAAATATTACTTGAGAAAATTATCATTGTCAATTATTCTCAAATAGGATAGGGTTGCATTCTAATTTATAGTACTTAAAATTTGGTTACTACTAAATAAATAGACCTAAGTCTTTGGAGAAGTAGCAATGATTCTGAGGAAAGAAAGCAGTAAACTAAAGGATTAGAGTTCTAGGATAGCATTTCTCAGTAAAAACTACCTGCATCAGCTCACTCAGGGTGTTGACTGAAATGCCTGAGCCCAGGCTGGGGTGTCATGATGTAGTCTAGCACTTGCATACCATGTACAAGGCCCTGGATTTGATCCCCATTACTGGAAAAAACAAACAAACAAAAAGCCAAAGTTCCCTTGATCTTCTCGGGGCAGAGCTTAGGATATACATTTTAATAAGCACCTCTGATGAGTTATACCCACTAAGGTTTAAAAACCACCACAAGGAGCTGATATTTTTCTTGTTTCAAGTCACAAAATATGTACAGACTCTTGCACCCTGGACAGAGATGTAAAGAGTAATATGTCTCAAGAAATTAATACCTTGAATTAGAGATACTGATATTACCAATTGAGGTTGTCATAAAAAATATTCAGCCTTTCTGGGATGGAAGCAGGAAGGACCTGCCTTATATATAAAATACACTTAAAGTTCATAAAAATATTTCTTACAAAATAGGAGAACACAGAAGGTATAGAACCTTAGGTGAACAGACTACATTCAATTCACTTTTGTCACTCTCTGGTCTCTTATGTGCATTTATTATATGAAAAATGATTAATTTATAGCAAAATAAAAAGTTAGCACCAAGATTTGGGGTTTAGATTAAGATGGTCAAGTAGGAAATGAGTTTGAATGTTGACATTCAGAACAGAAACAGGACTAATGCTGCAATCATGTGCTGAATTTGTGCTGGTGCACAGTTAGTGAAATGGTGAGTACACTTTATACTATGAAACAGGAATCCTGATCTAGGTGGACAGAAGCACTGCCAAGGCAGGCAAGAAAGATAATTGCACATAGAATATGTATTGAGGAGAAATGTGTCTTGATTTCTTATGTAGACCTTTCTGTTGCCTTCAATTAGGCACACATCAGCTCATGGCCCTTTGGAGGAAATCAGCAATGTGGGATGATGGGACACTGATGAACACTAACATGGCTCCACAGACTTCTACACATTCTGTCACATGCTTTTCTACCACACACTCACCCCCACAAAAGGCAAAATAAGATTTGTGATTGAGCTTTTATACTTCTTTTTGGTGGGGGGGTGGTGGTTGAGACAGGGTCACACTATGCAGCCCAGGCTGGCCCCAAACTCACAATTCTCCTGTCTCAGTCTCCTGAGTGCTGGGATAGGCATGTATGACCACATCAAGCTTGAACTAAAATACTTTTAAATTTATTAACAGATGCTAAATCACATCCATGAACATTTACTATTTTTTCTGTTTTGTTGCATTCAAAAGCCATGAACTTGTAATTCATAATCTTTAACAAAGAACTACATGCTAGTGGGATTTTCATTTTTCTACATATTACCAATGAATAGCCAAACAAATTTGGATTTTTAGATTTATTTCAGTATTATGTTTTTATGTGGAATCTAAAAAAATACTTAGTATGATAATATAATACAAAATGGTATGTTAATAGAGAATTTCCAAATTCTCTATTACCTATCAGTACTACAAGTTTCTCATTATCATTTCACACACCCTGAAAATGCCAATAAATGCTTTAAACTGTTGAATTTTATTTGGAAAGAGAAAATAAAGTTTTAAAAGAAATACTAGAATGTTTAAACATCATAAGGAAAACATCCAATATCAATCAACCTATTCTCAAGGTGCAATGCAGCGCCACCTATTGGTTAAAACAGTACAATTCTTTTTTAGACCTTACTCTAGAATGGAAATGTTCAAATCTATTCCAAAGGGAGAATAGTACCGTGAAACCCATGTAACATCCAGCTTCAATAACTATAATCTCATGGCCAATCCTGTTTAATTTCTATTTCTATTCAATCAGTCCCCATCTCCCAATTTTGTAACAAATCCCAAATATCGCATATGATTCAAAGAAATGCAATCCATCAAGGATTCTTTTTTGGATGTAGATGTCAATACATGTGAATAAGTCCTCAAACATTAAAGTATAAGAATAAACAAAAAAACCCAAACTGTCTCTTAAACACATCATGAAATTCAGAAGATTTCTCTAAGAGAGAGGAAGGATCCTACCCAAGTATCAAGAACTTTGTTTTAACCCCAGTCCAGCTACTCATTGACTAAAAAATAAGTAGTCTCTCCATTTCTTCATCTATAAAATAAAGTGGTGATATCTGAACAATCTATGTTTAGATAATCTACACACCACCATGTGGTCCTCTCCAAATCAAAAGTTCTGTGTACTGATTGAACGTAGAAGTGAACTTAAGCACATAGAAAGGGCCACCCAAAAGTAATTTGTTTCTTTAAACTGATTTTGAAATCTTATAATAAAAAGAAAAAAGTAAGAGTGCCTATGTATAGAATTGTAATTTTATCCATATTGTATGCAATATGCAGTATACTTTTCAATCCCCTGTGACTTTATATATAATATGCATATAATCCAATTTCTACCTAGAATTATTTCTCTTGACTTCTTTTAAAAATAATAAAGTATACAGAAATCTTGTCTTTAGGATCCTCATATGTCATGTGCCCTCATTAAAAGGACTTTTGAATGCTTCATAATTAAATTTCTTTGAAGTCTAGGATGTTCTATAGCAAATACTACTTTCAACAACTAAATAAGGGAACAAATTACAGAATCCAACTATACTATAGTAACATGCTCCAGAATAATCCATGAAGTTCAAATAAATCACAAATCCTATCAAAAAAATCAATAGCAATGCATTATTTTAAAAGTACCATGAAAATTAAGAGATTATAACCTCCAGAACAGGGTTCATAACTTAAATATAAGTATTCAAGATAATGGGGTTTTTTTTTACCATAAAAGAAAAAACATCTTGGAACCTATTTTCATTTTAAGTCTTTTACAAATAGTAATTATGAAAAATGCAGACCATATACATAGTAGCCTTAATTTCAAATCTTATGACACTTCTTTTTTATGTATTATTACCTCAGCTAGATTACAACTTTTTTAAGGTACAGTACATAGATTACCTGCTAATACCACTGACTGTTAAAACTGATTGCAGGACATGATAAGAAAGCAGTATGTGAGAGGGAAGAGGGCATGATGGCTCACATTATAATCTCAGCTACTAGGGAGATGGAGATTGGGTGCAAAGCCAGCCCTTCCCAAAAGTTAACGAGATCCCATGGTGGTCCCAGCTGCAGGACATGCCTGTGGTCCAACCTGTGGGGAGGAACAGACAGCAGGGTCGCAGATGGAGGCCAGCTGTAGGCAAAAAACATGAGACCCTATCTGGAAAATAACTAAAGCAAAAAGACTGGAACTGGTGCTCCAGTGGTGGACTGCCTGCTTAGTAAACATGAAGCTGTGAGTTCAAACACCAGTACTGCAAAAAAAAAAAAAAAGAAAAAGAAAAAAAGAAAAGAAAGCAGTATGTATAAACTAAACAGAATAGTATAGAAGATAATTGTCAGGTATCATAGACATATATCTTAGTAAAGATGAGATTTATTAATTCAAATTTATTCCCAAGCAAAGAATATTATTTATTCTTTAATCTTCTTTAGTTAAAATACATATTTCCTAATACTATTCTATTCAAATTTAATTACCACACCTATTGTGGAAGTTAGAGAAAGTAAAACCACTGTGGAAACAGAATGTTCTGATGATCATTAAATCTCATCTGGGTCCAGAGTTTAACATTATTATTCCACTTTTTGAAGACAGTCTAAGGAGATGGAAATAATGGATTCAAATTTTATTTAAAATCACCATAAAAAGAAACGTGTTTCAGGGGAAAAGAGACATGACCTGTCCCACACACGGTGGAGGGTTAACCAAGACATAGCAGGAGCTTAGCATCATCTCCTCCACAGGACAAAGTGTTACATTTTAAATTTTATTTTCTTGAATAATTGTTATTTGTAACCTGCTAAAGGATTAAAAATATCCCAATTCATATCTGTGATGTCTGATTGTCCCCTTCACAATTACAAATGTGGATCCTTAAATGTACAGAGAATGGAAAAATACCCTGCAACCTTTGCAGTCACTCCTCAGCTGTGTTTAATGCAGTGATTCTGGTGTTGCTCTCATATTTAATTGTACCATACACTCCCAATAAAGCAGGGAAGGGCCTCCCTCTCAGGACTTAAGAGCAGAAGTTTCATCGGCACTGATGGCTCACATCTGTAATCCTAACTACTCAGGAGACAGAGATCAGGAGGACTGCAGTTCAAAGCCAGCCCCAGACACAGTTTGTGATACCCTATCTCAAAAATATCCAACACAGAAAAGGGCTGGTGGAGTGGTTCAAGAGGTAGAGCATCTGCCAAGCACACTTGAGGGCCTTGAGTTCAAACCCCAGGACTGCCAAAAAAAAACAAAAAGTTTTACTTGGGAAAAGGAAGGGGACAAGAGAAAGTAATGGAGAGTGAATATGATCGAAGTACATTCTGTGCATGTATGAAAATGCGACAATGGAACTCAGTATTTTGTACAACTTATACATGCTAATAAAAAGTTTAAAATAAAAATAAAAAAGTACATAAGTTTCTGTTGCAGGGACTTTTAAGGAACACTCCATTTTTGTATTATTACTCCTTTTTTCCTGACACTACAGCTTCTAAAATTTCATATGAACTGTGGTTTTTATAGCAAAATTGTATTAGAGATAAAACCAAAACCAGTCTTCTAATGAGTGTGTACTAAGTGGTCAAAATCTCCTTTATGACCTCCACGTCTGCAACATATTCTGTTTCATGCCCTGCACCAAAGTTTACAGCAACTCAGCGTTCAGACCACACTTGTTGCTAATGATGCACATAACAACTGCACTATGGCTTGTAGAGGGAAAAGCCTCTCACACTGTGCTGGCTCTCGATCTCTTCGTGCTTCTGCTGCAGGGCCTGGGAAGCCCTAATGGAGTCACCAATCCCCCACTGGGCTCTTAATTGTTCTGATCCAGGTCCTTCAAGCCAGTTCACAACCTATAAATGAAAAGTAGAGATGAAGGTTTAAAATGATCAAAAGCTCCTCAAACTTTCATTCTAATTGAGATTCCTTTCCCAAAATTGCTCAGTATTTTAAACTTCAATTCTTTAAACTGTACTGCACAACACAGGCAGTAAATTTCTTTTGGAATTACACAATTATAATGCGACAACATTTTCAAAATCTGCAGCCTCTTAGGCTTTCAGCTATCTGATCATCTGCCAGGCTAGAAGAAAACTGGAATGCTTCTACAAAAGAGGATTAAAAATTAACTTGTGATAAAAGAATTAGAGGGCTATAGGATTTAAAGTTAGAAAAGACATCATAAATGACATTGGTCAAAGTTCTTATCTAATACTTAAGTAAATTGAGTTTCAGAAAGATTAAGTGACTTGCCCAAGGTAACATAATCTATTACTGAAAAAATCTAGTACTAAAAGCCTTGTGCCCTGACTCACTCTCTAATGCTCTTTCCAAAGCATTGATAAAACTGGATTAACAAAGTTAAAAATAATGATTTCCTCATTTAAAAAGAAAATTAATAACTAACTGTAGGATTATATTACCATAATATCTTCTAGGTGTCTTTGTAGGATAAACTAAACATTCAGACTCACAAGGAGTCCCAAAAGCAAGAGAAGGAGAGAAGACCCACATACAAGAGGTATGGAAGTCATTCTAGGATCAAAAGTTCATATTCCATAAGGCCATGCCCACTATGAAAAGTCACTGAACTCAAGGATGCCCAAACCTATGTCTTTCATCAAATATTAGTAGTTCTCCCAGTCCAGACCTGGAGTAATTTTTACTGTAAGCAATACTGCCTACTCACACAGTTAACATTCTAATTTTTGTCAGGTGCTTCAGGGGAATAAAGCTAGCCAGTTATGCAATGCAAAGAGAAAAAGGTTTTGTTAACTCCTCACAAACAATAACACTCTGAAGGAATTTTAACAGAAAAAAATATATTACCAAGCTCCCCCCCTTGCTAAATTTGAGTAAGGAATTCAAGAGCAGATGTGTGGTTATGCCTAAATCTAAACTTAGGATAGCTCTCAAGAAGTGGATGTAGTTGTCTATGCAGCTTACTGTTATGGACCTAGTAGACAGGCTTGCCTTAGATCTTGTGTAAGCAGTATAGTCCCACAGGGCACCTCTGCTATTACCCAGTTAACATAATCATTTAAAAATCTAATAGTTTGTGCATCCTTATTCTTTATGATAATAAAAAAGTACCACATCATAAGGAAAAATATTTCCTTCTATTAATTTTTCATATACGTAGTCTTCATATGCTAGCCCAGATTTAGTTATTATAGCAAATTCTCAGAGTATAAGTAACTTCTATCCTGTGTCTTTCACTTAACACTAAACTACAATACTCTACTGATTTCCATGTAGCTACAATTATACTTAAGGCCAACCTCTTTGCTTTCCTGCCTCTCTCTCCCATCTGTCCAATCAATCAACCATCAACTAACTAACCAACCCATATTAAGAACTAAGTAACATACTACCTCAAGTTCTATCATATCTGCTTTCAAGACTCCTTTGTGATAAAGTGTTTCCAATTTCCATTGGTTCTAAACAATTAGATAATGATGGTCATGATGATGGTGATGATTACAGACAGACAGATATACAGACAGACAGAGAGCAGTTAATACACAGACTTTTCTCTAGTTGGGTACTGTTTTCCTAGGAAGGGTTTTGACTGGACTTAGGAAGCATGTAATGGTCACCAGTTTACTTTATAAATTTGCTCTGTAAAACACTTGTTTCTACTCGAAACATGCCATAATGGGTTTTAACTGTACAATAACCTTTGCAAGAGATACAAATATAAACTAGTTTCTAAAATACTCCTGCCAATTGGAAAAACCAGCAATCTATTTTTTTTAAATATCAGAAGAACTGAATACATTGCAAATGACTGCTTACTATATATAGGTGTGTGATTTTCCTAGTTTTTGTCCTCTTATATTCTAGTGCCTTAAATATAATATATTAACTTCTGTCTTCTTTTAAGGTGTAATATTAGGAAGCAAAACTCAAAAGTGAAAAAGTGATAAGATTACTGTTGAGTCCCTGGAATAGCCCTTAGCCCTTGGACTTCTTTAAGCTAAATCCTGGTTTCACAGCGAAATCTATAGGTGAGTGCTCTTTAGAATGCAAAGAAAGGGTGGTTCCTCAACATCTCCACTTTTTCGTCTTTAATCTTTTGTATGAACTGCCTTAGGAGAGGCAGCGTTGTAGGATCCTGTTTGTCCTGTTTCTCTTTGTTGGCCTGTGAAAGTACCATCTTGCACAAAAGAGATAAGCAGTTTGTTTGATACAGTCTGAGGATGAATCCTGGATTCTGGCTCTGTTCCTACTAAAGACTTTGGTTTCTCACTTCAAAATGATGCTAATGACACCCAACATACTGGGCTGTTGACACCATTAGATAGGTCATTACATGTAAGACACTCATTATAGTAGATGACACTAATAACTATTTGGCCCTTTGCTTTTCCCGTTTTTTTCTGTAGCTTAGTTCCTTCTGTTCTCTCACTCTTTATGAGATTTGTTCCATACCTGTATTTTCCAATAGATCCCTGGGTTTCTTAAGAAAAATCCATGAACTGACTCTTATATCCAACACTTTAAAATATAGAAATAAAAACAGTAAATTTGGGGCATCCTCTCTTGGAACTCCCCTGCCCAACACTGGTGGCTTTTCTTTCCCACTTTACTCTTTTCTAACTCAATAAACTCTCCAGAAGAATAAATTTTAAGGAATTTGTAAATATTTTTGTGTTTCCACTTCTATTTTGAAAACTAATTGTCTCTGACTTATTATATGTTATGAACAGAGAGATACAGAAACATTAAGGTAACCCAGACATAGTAAAATATGCCTAAAATCCCAGTACTCCAGAGGCTGAGGCAGGAAGATCAAGAGTTTGAGGACAGTTGAGATAAAATAAATTTTAAGTATTTTAAAGTATTTAAAGGAATTTTAAATTTAAAATTCCTAGTATTTACTAGGAATATCTAAAATCTAAAAATGAAAGCATTTATAAAACTTTAATTAATAATATATTAGATACAGTTTTTAGAAACCTAAGATAATGTTATTAAGCATTTAACTATGATATTGAAATAGCAAAGAAACACAAGAAGCAAGTTAATACAAACCATTATATTTATATAAAAATTATAATTGGGGAAAAACAGCACAGGTTGAATGTACTTCCCAAAGCTCACGTGCTAGAAATTTAAACCTCAATGTATCAGTTTTGAGAGGTGGGAACTTTAAGAGGTGATGAATACCATTACTGCAGGAGTGAATCTGTTACAAAAGCGAGTTAAGCCTCTTTCTCTCTCTGTCTCTGTCTCTTTCTATTCCATGTGTGCTCCTCTGCCCTTCTGCTCTCTGCCATGGGGTGCTGCAGCAAGAAGGGCCTGGCCAGACACAGGTCTCTTGGCCTTGGATTTCCCAGTCTTCAGAACTTGTAAGAAATAAAACTTTGTTCTTTATAAGTACACAGTCTCAGGTATTGCTACAGCAGCACAAAAAAAGAGATAGTACAGGGAACTTTAAAAGAGTCACAAACTTAAAAAATAAATTTTAAGTAAAGCAAAAATCTTGGCACAAAAACCCAATTATGTAGTCAAATGCACATATAGCTTTAATGTATGCAGAAAGTAATTTACCTTAGCATGCAACATCAGTAATTCAGACACAGTAAATATATGACTACTTCTAATAAAAAACTGTGCAAATTGAGATTGATGCCCCAATAAACAAGTCTATTTAAATGTATTAATGATAGTGGTTTGCCACTGTGTTATACAACTTAATTTCAATCACACCTTGCTCAGTCAATCTGAATATTAACTTACTCCCAATTCCTAACAGTGTGACCCCCTAAATGGTTACATTTACATGCAAAGTACAACCTTGGAGATGTATTCCTAATATCTACTATGACAAATATTTGCACAGGCCAAAATGTTTGTAGCTATCTGTTTTTTTTTGTTGGTTTTTTTTTATTTATTTATGGCCATGCTTAGTGCTAAAGACTGCATGAGAGAATCCTGGGAAAGATGTAAGATCAAAGGTCATGTCAAGCATTTGACCTGGAGAAAAGGCAAGGAGCCTGAGAACACAGCCTCCAGCTATACTGGCTGCACTCAGGCAACTCAGAATGAACCCTATTTTGCATCTATGGTTCCTTTCTATAGTGGAAGAAAAGCACATGGATTATTCTAGAAGTAACATTTGCAGTGCTGGCAGTCATTACTGTCACAATAAATAATGAGAATAACAGTAGCACATTTTGGTGAAGTGACATTGTCTCCTACCCAGAAGCAGGTAAAATTTGATTTTTAACTTCACAGCAGCAGTAGTATGGAGAATATCTGCCTACCACAAGAAGTCTGACACTGCTAATTTGAACTGTGGGGAATAAGTGACTGATAATTACCATGTTACTACTTAACCCATAGTTTATCTATCAGAGCTATTGATTCTCTTGTGTTATGTTTTCTGTGATAAGCAGTAAATTAAAAAATGTGGAATAATGTAATTTTCACTGATTTAACATAAACTGAGATAATAAACCTTATGATTACATAAACAAAAACATTTTTAACATTTTTCCCCAATTTGCAATACTGAAGACAGTAAAAATTCATGTTATATAATCAACATATCATAATCTACATTACTATAGTTAAACATAGTACACATTTTTGGCAAGGGGAAATTGATTTGTAAAAACAGAGTGCAGGAAAACACTTCATGGTGAATACTATTTCAATTAATTCACTTGTAACTTTTAGAAAAACACTGAGCTGGGTGTGATGACACACACATGTAATCATCACACAACTTGGGAGGCTAAGGCAGACAGATATCAAGTTCTAGGCCATGATGGCTACATGGTGAGACCATGTCTCAAAGGGAAAAAAAGAAAACCGAGCTGCACTGTAAATCTCTCTGGTTTTAACAATAAGCTTGTTACCATCACCACCACCATTATAAATATTATCATCATCATTTCCCGTCTCCAATTTCTTTTATTTGTGGGTCACAACATTAATTTTATTTCTTTATGTACTGGGGGTACATTGTGAGATCTACCAAAAAACATTAATGTGGTAGAAATATTATGTACTCATGTATATAAATGGAAAAATGAGACATGTTGGAACTATTCCAGGAATGGTAGACAAAGGAGAATGATGGCTGAGGGGGTGAATTTAACTATGATATCAGAACTTTTGTAATTGTAATGACACAGTGTATTCCTAATACAACAAAAATATAATTAAAATAATGTAATAAAACAAGAAAGGTTTTTTCTAATTTCTTCATTGAGCTGGTCCATTATTCAAAAAATACATTTATCAATACATTAACTCCTTTATTGCTGTCTTTTTCCCGTTTAGCAAAGCACAAATGTAGCTGAATCGTATTCCTATATTCTGTTTGTTTACACCCCAACAGCCAGAACTTTGTTATGTGTCAGGCACCAAACACCTTCTTCAATATGCATAACTTTCTAATTACATAGATACTACTATTATTGGTTTTATTCTGCTATAGTTGTTATTATTCTCTTACTGAGTATGAAAGTAGGGCATGGGACTTTCTCCCTAGGTCAAGCTGCCTGGATGGAAAAGAGGGTAGATCAGAATCCTGGGTTCAGAATCTGAGTTTTGTACCATTATGCCATTATCTCATTGTGGTTTTCAAAGATAGTCTCAGACTAATTGGCTAAAGCTTACTTGGGTTTAATACAAACTGCACTTTACTAACAACCATAATGGAAAAGTCACATATAATTAATGTATA